TGTGGTTGATGTGTGTGTGTGTGTGTGTATGTATATGTGTGTGTGTGTGTGTGTGTATACATACACACACACACACAATATATTTGTGCCTTTGAGTCAGTCCTGACTTCTGGTGACTACATGGACAATGTAGTTGTCCGTGCAGTTTTCTTGGCAATATTTCAGAGGCGGTTTTCCATTAACTTCTTTCTAGGGCTGAGAGAAAGAGAGAAGGCTCCAACTTCTCTAGCCGGCTTCCATGCCTCTCAGAGATAGCAGCTCTTTGAGATTTCAGACAGAGGTCTTTCTTGGCTTATTGGGAGATATCAGACACTGAACCCGAGACCTGAAAGATGCATGCCGTGTGTTCTGCCACCAAGTTAATGCTATTTTTTGACTACTAGTAGTAATTACTTACATGACGTGAGCATGCCATAGCTTCTCTATTGATAGATTCATTGACATCTTCCTTTCTGTCAGGGCCAACTGTAATGTCAGATGAAAACATTCCATTATACCATGAAATTCATGGAATTCAGCTTAGAATCCCTAAGGTTTCTGTCTAGGTTAGCACAGAATTGACATTGTTTGTGGTATTCTTCCATTACATTGTGTAGTTTTTAAAAGTGCAATGGAAATAAAAACAAAGGCAGTTCTATTTCTCTGGATTTGCAGAGAAAGTTCCATTTCTCTGATTCTGCAGGAATATTAAAATCACTCCTTTTGCTGCAGACACAAGGAGGTAAAGCTACTGGAGATGCTTTTGCATGGTGATGTAGAAGTTCTCTTGTGAGTAAGAAAGGCAAGGCAAGGCAGTGACTACTATTAGGGTATTCAATGAATGAAAGATAGCCCCTGCTTCCTCCTCTTTAAAAGAGGAGGGTCATCCTACATTTACTAAGAATATGGTAATAGAGGCAGATTAGTTTATCTATTCTTCTTTTGGGGAGAGGATGACTTCCTTTCAATAAAATAAGACATTTTGCTATGAACTAAATACAGGAAATGGTTCATTGTGTTTTTCATGTGGTCCATGTCCCAGACAGTGAGATTTGCACACTAGTTTTAGACTTTCCAGTATTACTAACAGTTACTAACCATGGGCTATAACAGTTGCCAAGCTTGTCTATAATCCAAATGGTGACTTTTCTGTATACTACTCTTTTAATCTACAATCAAAACATTTTAGGGGAGGGAAAAAACCAAACTACAGCAAAATAAATGAACGCTAAGTGTATATACTGTAGGTCACTCAACAATATCTTTATAAGAAGAAATCCCCAAAGGTTAGGCTTTAAAAAGTGTTTTGTCTGAGATGTCTTACACAGCTTTCCAAGCATTGCTTTTAGTGAATCATGTTCACATTGCATGGATAGTTGCAAAGATAACTGAAGTCAATGTGCCTTAATATATGTTGTTGTTGTTGTTTAGCTAGGGCCGTGTAAAGCATTTGGAAGAACTACTTCACCAAGTACATGGCTTGAGCAAAGTACCCTTCCATAAAGTACCAAAGCAACTATGCTCTCTGGAACGTTTGCATAGCTGCTTTGAAGACAATCCCTGGTTTTCTGCAGATGTGCATGAACAGACAGCGCTTCTGCTGGAATTTGCAGTGAAGTACTTTGCCTGTTCTCCACTGAATATTTAAATACTGACTATTTAAAACACCACCCTATAAAAAGAGAAGCACGCTTTACCTTGGATATCAATGTTGCCATGGACATAAGGATGAAAAGGACGATATCGGCCCTCTATGAGTAGAGCCCCTGGTGTTTTATATTTTAGATACCTTGCACATCTAAACAACAGAGCAGATTTTATAAGTATTTGGCAAGAAAATACAAGTAGTGTTACCTAACAGTGTATCTCATTGGTTTCCTTAATTTTAAGTCTTGCATGTAGTGATTTCTCTTTATCAAAAATAATAATATAGATCCTATGAGTCATGTGATCAACCTTGCTATTGACTGTAGATGGCAAAGGATTTGCACCTTTTCACAACATGTGCCTGAGCCCTTCATAGATCAATATATTTTCACTATATACTTCCTATATTGTCCTATGACTATATGGAGGGCCTTGCTACTGGCTTCTGCACACAAGAATAGCAAGAGCTCATATTTGGAAGCACAGAGAATGCTCAGCTCCTTGCTGCTGCCTCTCCCTTGCTTACCTAGTCTTTAGTAACCTCATTACTTATCATATGAAAGCCACATGAGCTAAGAATGAAGACTGGACAAGCAGGAACTTGGAATCTATTAATTGTGCTGTAGATTATGAACTCAAACTTGAACTCACATTGGAATATTTGAATAAGTCTCCTCCTATTTTTTTTTTACATAGCTGTACCTTTCCTATGCTTACATTTCACCATATTCCTTATATTATTATTAAGCATTTAAGTCCAACTATAAATAAATATATTGCCTTTTAAAAAATCATATTTGATCACACAAATTCAGTTTTTACCACCACCACAGATTTTGTATGCATTTAAAGCAGGGATGGGGAGCTTGTCAACCTCCAGATGTTGCTGATCTACAACTCTCACTACTGGCCATGCTGACTATGGCTGCTGGAAGCTGGAGTTCAATGACATTTGATGGCTATAGATTCCCAGTGCTGATATAAGGGAACTAGATTTCAGTGCAGCTCATACCTAAAGCAGCTGTGGAGAACTAAAATCAATTCAGAAAGCCCAGATGTATGTCCCCAGCTTCCAGCACTCAGGTGGTACCAATGAGTAGAACTTAATGGAGTGATGCTCTTTGGGCAGAGAAAAATACAAGATATACACTTACTTGTTTGAATTTTCTGGCAGCTCAGGTAGTCTGCAATTAGAAAAAAAAGTATTCAACATTTATTTATTTATCAAATTTATATAGCTGCTCATCTCACTGACATGATTCTAGGAGGCGTACAATAAAACAAACAATTAAAACCAATCTTAAGTAAACATTAAAAACAATTAACATAAAACATAAATAAGATCATGGGAGAATGCACCAAAATCTCACACACAATACAACCGTCTTGCAGGCTCCCTGTTACCATGGGATTCTTAAGTCTGCTGAAAAACCCACATTTTAAGAGATTTCCAGAAGGACAATTCTTTATCAGGCTTTACAACCAGATGCTTTCCAGATATTTTGAAATGCCACTCCTTCAACCCTGGCACAATGAATAAACAATTGTAATTGGACCACTCTGATCATTCCAGTTGTATCGCTATAACTGCCTTGAGTGATTAGCAGCCATATATACACTATTCTTAACAGGATTCTAGTCAACTATAGCTGCTTAAGTGAGAAAAGGAGGAGGCTATCAAGCTAAGTGAATAAAAGAAAACAAAAACAAAAGAACCTGATACCTCCTATCTCTTTAAGATGAGTAAGATACTCACTGATAGTAGAATACAAAGGAAAACAAGGAAGGAAAAAAAAATAGAACAGATATCCTAGAAGAAGCAAACAGAAATATTTTATGTTAGAACCTCCCTGCAATTCTTTATCACTTAGGGTTGTACAATCAAAAACATATCTCAGAGATTTGTCTGTATATTTGCAAATAATTATAAATGCCGATCTATCTACCATTTCCATGTCCAATAACTACTCGTATAGTATAATTATTATATTTTTCCTTGCCTCTATGAAAAGTCAGCTGGATCTGGATTTATATCTTTTTAGTACAGTAACTAATATATTCCACTATTAAAAGATTTAGTACACAGATACGTAAGTGTGCATGTATAAATACATACATACTGATTTGGATATATACAGGAGAGAGAGAGAGAGAAACTGAGACCGAGACTGATTTAGATATGCATATACATAGAGCCGGTTTGGTGTGGTGGTTAAGGCACCAGACTAGAAACTGGGAGACGGTGAGTTCTAGTCCCGCCTGAGGCACAAAGCCAGCAGGGTGACCTTGGGCCAGTCACCTTCTCTCAGCC